CAGACTTTTGACCGCTTCGCCTTGGGCATTTTTAATCTGTAGCTCTGCTCTAAAAGAACGTACGTACCTGGACCCGCCTACTATCCTCGGAAACGTAAAATGATTGGCTAGAATCTAAAGTGTATCACAGCTCAGGATCATGGCACCGGATACCGGTACCCATCTCTAGTTAAAACTATTACAAAGTCAAAAAATATATATATTTAAAATAATATGCATGAACACAAACCTATGTTGAGTAATATTAAAATGTAAATTTTAAAAGAACGGTAGAAGATGGCTCCAATGAAGCCTTCTCTATATTTGAAACCTCAGAGTTTTTGTTTTGGCCACTGCTGTGTTGTTTTGATGGCGAACACATGTCAGCAGCGTGTCAGCGGGTGGAACGCTAACTAGCTTAGCATAGCTTGGCATAGCAGCTAATTAGAGGTTATTGACAGTTTACTAAAATATTACAGTTTTATTCAAACTGCAGCTCAGACTTCTTGGACTGCTCCTACATCACAGCAAGCCGCATTATGTCAGGTGCCTGACAGGAATAAACAACGCTTGAAAAGGAACAAAAACATGGATATCAAAGCCAGTTCAGTCTCTCCAGTCATTTAAAATGACACCTAGCATTCGTTTTTGGATATTAATGGAAACATACTTTTTGATACTTTAGCTTTGCCTTCATTTTTTAATAATAATTGGGAAGATGCCTTTTGTTTATGACCTAGATTGCTTGTCTTCAGTAAGTTTGATCCACTCAGTTGTTGACACGGGTCGTGTTCTTTGTCCAGGAGCACAGGAACCTGCCCTTCATGCAGGAGCTGAGGAACCTTTTCTCTCTCATGGTGGGCTCCAAGAGGAAATATGTAGATCCATCACGAGCTGTGGAAATCCTCAAAGATGCCTTTAAGTCGAGTGAGTCACAGCAGGTAAGCCTCTTTCTGTTACAACCTGCTTTGCAGAATAGCACTCCAATGAAAAGACCTTTTTTGCAAGGAGGTCAGAGATTATGTTCTTAGTCCTCTGTTAGCCTTTCATACACATCGAATCAAAGCGACTGAAAGCATTTTTCAAATTGTACGGTGCTGTAAAAAACTTGTCAAATTTACACGTTTCAGAGCAGTAAAGATTAAGATAACCAGAGTAAATGCAAAAGCCTTTAAATAATGATTTCATGTATTAAGGGTAAAAGCTATCTAAGTCTACCTGGCACGTGAAAAGGTAATTGCCCCCTTTGTTAAATCATGAAAGAACTGTAATTAACCACATTTTTGGACAGCTGAGTTTAAGGCTTTGCCAGGGCCGTTATCCATAAATGGAGAAAATGTCGAACAGTGGTGAACCTTCTCAGGAATGACTCGCGTAACAAAAATAAATTCTGTCGACTGACGAGATGAATATTGCACTTTTTGGAAGGTCTGAGCTCTGTTACACCTGGCAGAAAATTTATATAGTATTTCATCTGAAAAAACCCCAAAAACCTCTTACCAGCAGAAAACATGGTTGTAGTAGTGTGATGGTGTGGGGCTGCTTTACCTGGACCAGGATGTTCAGGACCTGGACGACTTGCTGTTATTGA